AAACTAAATTTTTCTAAAATCCCCTTCTATACAATAAAAATAATTTAAAATTTAAGTCTTAGCTGTTTCCAAAGGATTTCAAATTTAAAAGGGGGAGGAAGATTGGAAAAAGTAAAGAAAATGAATAGCAAATGAAACATTTGCTTAGTATATCATTTGAGCCAAAGTTTTTAGATATTGTACTAAAAAAAACAATTTTCCTCCATGAAGTTCTCAATTCAATTAGGAAACACTCCAGTTGTACTAGTATCTATGAATTTACAACGCTTTCGTAAGCATTCTAACTATAACTCTTGGTCAAATGCATCCATGGCTGTCCTTATACACAGATCACATAGATTAACTGCAAGAAATGTCATAGATTAAAATTTGGTTCTTAGAGTAGTATCATTTGAGCCAAAGTTTTTAGATATTGTACTCCAAAAAAATTTTCCTCCATGAAGTTCTCAATTCAATTAGAAAACACTCCAGTTGTACTAGTATCTATGAGTTTACAACTCTTTTGTAACCATTCTAACTGTAACTCTTGGTCAAATGCATCCGTGGCTGTCCTTATACACAGATCACATAGAGTAACTGCAAGAAATGTCATAAATTAAAATTTGGTTCTTAGAGTAATTGAAAGATGTTCATTTGTTGATAGTCAGGATTCAAAAGTTTTATGAAGATGAGTCCTTGAATGCAATCCGTGCTGAATAAATGTGTCTTGGATTGAATTCAATTGAGGATCATTTAAAAAATTTTACATGTGTGAAGAACTTGCCCAAGTCTATTTAATCCCGGTCTAACTCAGCCCCTGTATTTCAAAACGATCTTCCAGCGTCTTTTCAGTAAACGCATTAGACAGATGTCCTAACAGGAACGGAGTCCTTGAATGCAATCCGTGCTGAATAAATGTATCTTGGATTGAATTCAATTTAAAAAATTTTACATGTGTGAAGAACTTGCCCAAGTCTATTTAATCCCGGTCTAACTCAGTCCCTGTATTTCAAAACGATCTTCCAGCATCTTTTCAGTAAACGCGTTAGACAGATGTCCTAATAGGAACTTCTTGGCAGGGCCACTTTGACAGGCAGGGGAAACATGAGGCATGGCAGCCCTTTCTCAGGGTGGTTTCTAAGAGCGTCATCTCCATTGGAAACCCAAGGTAAAGCAGGCTCTTGCCCAGCCGGGGCTCTAAGTCACCAGCCATCTTACCCCACTGCATCGGCCTTGGGGAGCCATTCTTCCACGTCCGGGGCCTGGAGTTTCTCTCACATCGATGCGATCAGCCCATGTGCACAGAGGAGAGAGATGGCACAGCAGGGGATGTTATTTACAAGGACCCTTTTTAAAGAATGCGTAGGTCTCCTTCTGGGTTTTGGAAACATGACATGTTGCAGGGATGAAGTTAGCGTCGCTTGTCATCAGTATTCCTGCAATGTCTTTCATAATGTCGGGTGAGCTCACTCATATATTCCCAGGGTAAACGTGAGTGATGTCTTTGGAAGCCAGTATAAAGTTACAGTATGTTTTTCAACTTTAGGACGCGTTCTTCCCTCCATCTTCATTTTACATCTAAAACTGCAGGCTGTGGAGCAGACCTGGTAAAAGCCGTTCTCCCTGAGCAGCTGGCCCTTCTGCAGGCCAGGGAGACTTATATCAGATGCAGAAAGAATGGGAAGAATCGCTTGCACCTGGGCGTTCGTAAAATGAGTTGATGTGTTACTTAATCTACTTTTGCTTGGAATAAATTTAAAAATTGCATGAGGGTGTTCATTTTAAAGCATGATTCTATATACGTAGAAATTATAATCAGCATAAAATTAAATAAATAAGCATGGGACTAAACCTGACTTAGAGTAAAAATCAAAATAATAACTGCAAGATAACTCTTATCTCATCGGCCCACATTGGCTTTAAATATTATTTCAGATATCTATTTGGTCTATAAAAAGAATAATTGTTTTGCAAATGCATGTGATTTTACAGTACATAACATTAATGCAAAATAATTTTATACTGTTGATAGCATCTTTGCCTCTTGTTTTGAAAAATTTTATTTATTCGTTCATTCATTTTATTCATTCCCAACTTTGCTCCATAAAAGGTTTGTCAAGTAATTTTGGGCATTTATCAGTTTCTAAATACTGAATCTCCATTCTTATCCTAAATAAGAAGAAAATTATTCATTAACTGTGGTCATGTTTATTTGATCAAAATGATCATTTAAACACATGATCCTAATTTTCAGAACAACAGGCAACATGTTTAAATCTCCAGAGCCTTAGAGAGTGCCTGGAACATGGCTGACACCCACAAAATGTTTACCAGTGCATCATGTCTATCATGATCATTTTTATTAAAGTTCCCTCACTAATTGTAACATGCTGAAAACTTTCATCTTGGAAAAATGTGATTTAAGAGTAGGTTCTGTAACAAAAGATGTATGTAAATTCAAACATATCTCTTCTGAATTAATGTAGTAATCTGATAAATATATGAAAATATAATGAACTGAAATGTTCATTATATATATAATGTTCATTATATAAAAAATGTTCATTATATATAAAATGTTCATTATATATATAATGTGTTACAGTGACAACATAAGGTAAAACAACTCTAATGAATATATTTGCTGATTATTATTTCCTTTAGTACTAGAAAAGTTATGGGCAATTATTAATTACATATCCAGAAAAATAGAAGTTAGCTAATATGCAAGGATTTCAGAAAGTCTAAAATCAGGAGAGATAAGTGAATTCCTTCAGAATGTTCTAAAGGTGGGAAAGGGAATTCCTCGGTGGTATCTTGGATGTTAGGATGTGTATTTCTCTAATCCTTTGCTCCCCCCTTCACTTGTCTTATTCAAAGCTCCCTTCTCCATGGACTCATCTAGGGCAGTGGTCTCAACCTTCTGGCCCTTTAAATACAGTTCTTCATGTTGTGACCCAACCATAAAATTATTTTCGTTGCTATTTCGTAACTGTAATGTTGCTACTATTATGAGTCGTAATGTAAATATCTGATATGCAGGATGGTCTTAGGCGACCCCTGTGAAAGGGTCTTTCGACCACCAAAGGGTCACGACCCACAGGTTGAGAACCGCTGATCTAGGGAATACCTATGTGGGATGAGGAAGGGGTGCAGTTGAGGACTTGGCAAGAGCAAGCGTTTCTTCCCCAAACGGGAGCCTAGAAGTCCATGGCCTGTGGACGCCACAGAAACTCTTATAAATCAGTCTTGCCGGCTTTTCCTCTCCCTGCCATTGTCCGGCACAGGAGTGTCACTCTGACTTCCATTACACGTCAACACAAGCTCATAAAATATACAAGTGTTGAGAGTGAAACATGACATGGAAAAAAAGGTAAATAAGTAATGTTTGAAATGCCTTAAATGTTCTCAGAGAGCAGCACCATCTTAATTTTTGAGTGTCTCGTTATTTCTTTAATAGGTGAACTTGCTAAGAAAGAAAGATCTTCAATAGATGAACTTGCTAAGCCAGAATGATTGTTCAAGGAGAGAGCAGCTAGCATGCCTTCCTTCCCTACCCTCCATACAATAAAGAATCGTTAAGATGGAGCTTTGGCTAATGGAACCATGAATCAAGGCAAACAGTCCCTGCCAACGTCCTGAATTTCTCCACTGCTGTGCAGGCACCTAGAGAGTTACTGAATTTAATTTTATGAATCTCGATTCCTGGGCTTCGACAACAGGGCTCACCAGAGTCCTCCATCACTAGTAATGGACAATATCTTCTGAGGCCAGGAAGAGATGTTGGGAGAAAAATATCAGATGAAGTCAGCCAAGAATCTGGAGAACAAAAAAGAAGAAAAAATGTATTTGCCTAAATATGTTTAAAATCCTTGAATGAAGAGATTATGCTTATTTTTTTATTTAAAAGGGAAACAAACCTTCAGCACCTGACCCAATACCTAGTACTCAGCAGGTGAGGTGGGGGCTGGGGTGGAGGTGGCTTGGAATAGAGACTCCACTCATCAAATTGCTGACAAGAATAATGAGTAATAAAAACAACCCCTTTACAGAGTGGTATGTGAATGCAAAGTAGTAACAGTGAAGACAATGGCAGGAATGTCTCAAAAAATTTATTACTTTAATGTTTAAGTTTATTAAAAATATACGTACCCAGTGGAGAAGACAAATGATATTTACATATTTTTCTTCAGCTCTAGAAACAAATCAATTTTCCACCAGTCGTTTTAAAGTTTATATTTGTCGTTTTAAACAGTTCTTCTTTATTCTTTGAGATCTATTCAAAAGCTGTGACAAATTCTAAGTATAAGATATCCCCAAATGTGCCAACTAGATAAAATTGATTTGTCTGCCTAAAGAAGACAGACTTTTGCTCCTTTCAGGAGAAAATCTGACTTGCATTTGTCTTAAGTGATTTATGCATTGCAAGTTTAAAATGAAATACAGGCTTTTCCCTCCCATATAGTAAAAAAGGTGTTTTCAAATTTGAAGGAAACAGCAATTTTTTTGTCACCCAGGAAACCTACATAGCTATGAGGTAAAGCAAAATAAAAATGCTGCATTGCCCCCAAGTGGTCTTTTTAGGTATTGCACCAATAGCCTGAACTATCCAGCAGTGAAAGGAAAACAGGCAAAAATGCTTAAACAGAGCTTTGACGTTTCCTTTCACTGGATTATACATATTTATTTTGTAAATGGTTCTTGATTATCTGCGTTTGTGGTAGGAAGGTTATATTGCTAATTTGAGGCTCTGAATGGTGATAAATCTTCAGTGCAATTTAAATGGCATAGGCCACAAAATTATTCGAAATGTTTTCAGCATCTGTCAGTCACGGGACATTGTTTTTCCATTTAAAACAATTTTGTGATACATTAGGTTTCTTTAATGAATGTGAACTAGCACTAACATTTTAGACTTAGCATCTGAAAATGCACTGCTTTTGTCCGTCATCTTTTGAGTGTACTTCTATTTGATTTCAGCCGGAACCTCAAAGTGGCTATTAAACTCGAATTCCTTTGAATTATGGAAGTGGCCTAATGTGATGTGGAACTGAAAATCTGTCTTTCATTTCTCTGAGTGCTACTGAGGTAGACAAAGATGGATGGTTTCTCATTATTGTTGCGTTCCATACCTATTGTAATATACGGGCAGGTTTCATTGCTTTGGTTAATTCTCTCTCTGTGGGGCGTAATGCCATCCCCATAAGGCAGTCATTCTCTGACTCCCTCGCTTACTGAAGTGGAGCACCCCCACATCCACCACTGCACCGCTTTGTCTCATAACAGCTTGTCCTCTCACCTCCACGGCCAGACTTATGAAGCCAGTTTTTCAAAGCTCTATGAAGCAGGTCTTTAACATTCAGAGAAAGGGAATGAAAACAGGAGAGGAAATCCAGGTCTCCCTGCATTTATACAGGGGTGGGGAAAAGTAGGTTTGCAGTTTCCATATGGAAAATAATACAATATTTACCCTAGCTGGTTTGGCTCTGTGGATAGAGCGTCAGCCTGTCGACTAAAGGGCCTGGGGTTCGAGACTAGTCAAGGGCACATGCCCGGGTTGTGGGCTCGATCCCCAGTGTGGGGTGTGCAGGAGGCAGCCAATCCATGTTTCATTCTCATCATTGATGTTTCTATCTCTTGCTCCCTCTCCCTTCCTCTCTGATATCAATAAAAAAATATTTTTTAAAAAAATAATACAATAATAATGAATAATAGCAGGATTAAACTCTGTGTTTCACAGACTCACAACTGCAAACTTACCCAGCCCTGCATATACCCAAATATTATGTGGCCCCCCCTTTAAATCAGCTTCTCTGTGTCTAGTGTCTAGATACAGCCTTCTCTCCAGGTTTAAAGAAGTGCTGTACCAAAATGATTTCCACTGGAAATTTTATTTCCATTTGAAAAGTATGAGATTTCCCCATGGGCTTGATTACTCAAATCATCTACATAAATAATATGTATTCAAGTCACAGAAGGTAAAATCAAGCGCAGACATCACAGAAGAAAAACATTATGCTAAAGAAATATATTTCATTTTCATGCTTCCAAGGAGTTACTGTTAAAGTGAAAAGTGGGATTTAAAAAAGACCAGGGCAATGATGACACCCTTTCAGGCTGAGTGATAATATTGATTGCAATTCTACTCTAAAGGAGAGAGAAACCATTACTGCTGGATCTAGAAGACTAAAAAGAAAAACCCCAAGGCATGACCTTTGGGGCCCTTGGGATAGATGTCCATGGGAAAGTTCTCATAGCAGGTGCATGACCTCAGGCAAGCCTTCACCCTCTCTGAACCACTTTCTGTGTCTGTAAAATAGGAATAGTTTCCAGTGGGTTAAATGAGGTTTTCAGTCCTTCTACACATATTTACTGGGCATTTCCCATAAGCTAGTCATTGTGTTAGTTTCCAGTGATACAGTAATAAACACGGCAAAATCCCTACCTCTGTGGAGTTTACGTGGAATGGTAGATGAGTTAAAGAACTAATTATACATATATTAGAGGTCCAGTGCACAAAATTCGTG